ACTATCGTCATCCGTCCACCACTATTCACGTAGTATATCGTCGAGATACGCGGTTTTCCATTTTGCTGTGCAATTATTAATTCAATTTCGTAATTCATATCCGTTCTTCCAATCCGATTTAACGTTAACGTAATATTACAAAATAACGTGTTAATCTGTACATTTGTAATTGTGACAACGTTAAAAAAAAAAAAAAAAAGAAAAAGAAAAGCAACGAAAAAGGCGACGTGATTCCTGAAGGATCATTGCCGCGAAAGCGAATCGTTGCCCATTAACATAATTACGCGGGGAGACACTTAGCATAATGAAGACACAACGAGAGCTGACTAACAGCGGTTGTTATGTATATAAAGTGCACGCGTGTTGCGTCGAAGCGTGGCATAACCGATGATGGCAGACACGCGGAAAGTCGATGCACGCGTTTATATTTACTGCTTCGTGAAAAAGAGAACTCGTGTCGCGCCCGTATTGCTATGCGATTCGCGTTCTCTCTCTCTCTCTCCTCCTCCTCCTCCTCCTCCTCCTCTTCCTCCCCCCTCCCCCACCCGAGAACGAGAATTCGTCGCGAATCACGGTCGGAAATCGATCCGATCCCTGACTCCATCAGGTATGTGCACCAGGTGTGCGTATGCGTGCGTCACGTGTCGAGTATTTGGCGAAATTGGTATTGGAGAAGATCGAGTTTGGCCCGCGTGCAAGAAGCAATATATTCTATTTCTTTTACGACAATCTTGCAGCGTATAATTTGAGAACATGCGGTTACGCGCTTTGCACGGTTCGAGTCGAGGGTTAGATCATTAATTGGGAAACGGAGGAATATTTCGTTTCGCATCGTTGTTTAGGAATTTTAATGGGATTATTGATCGAATCGAAGAATGAAAAGTGATTCGAAGGTTAATACTCCGCGTAATAATCCGAACGTAACTCTAACGTGACGTCGAATATTTTCCTCTTCTTTTTCTTTCTTTCTTTTCTTGGCTTACCACTTTTTGCGCAACACAGTGATTTTACAATTTCCATATGCGATACGTGTCCCTCTTGAACAACTTTTTTTCCGTAGAATTACACGATTTCATCTTTTCTTGGAGTTAAGATAAAATATTTTTTATAAAAAAAAAAGATGACTCTTGAATATTCGTGTCGCTTGGAAATAAGCGTATTTCCACTTCTGTTTCATCAATTTAATCAATTTCATCCTCTTTTCTCCTCCCTCCCCTCTACTTATTCTTTACTTTATTATTATTATTATTTATATACTTTATTATTCTTTACTGTTCAACAACAAGAAAACTCTAACCGATTTATTTATTCAATTTATTGTTCTTTTCCTCTTTCCCTCCCTCTTCATACATTTCACATCAAAGTCTAGACTATCGAACATGTAGCATCACAGACTCCGTTATCTGGTGAAATTAGCAAAACAGATGTTTAACCGCGATAATGAGCAAGCACGCGTTTACAGATCGCGTTTTCGCTGGTCCATGAATCATTTGAGCGTGGCGACGTGGACACGAACGTAGTTTCCTCCACGAGTTTCGCGTGAAATGTTATCGAATCTTTTTTTTTTTTTTTAGCGTTATCAGTTGATAAACAAATAATCGTGGCGCGAGTATTTTAATTATTTCCTTCCGTTTGTTTGTTTGTTTGTTTTTTTTTTTTTTTTTTTTTTTTTTCCGTTTCATTTACTCGAGTCGAGTCCAAATTACGTAGTTTGTCGCAGCGACGATCAGTCGTCCAATCGTTTTCAAAGATCGCACACACGAGATCTGAACGCACAATAGAAAGAACAAAAGATTTTTTCTTTTTTCTTTTTTTTCGTTACACGAGGTGACTGAACCGGATAGCAAAGTGTTGTGTTTGGTTTTTTGTGTATTTTACATTAGAGCCTTATCTGATGCTTTGTACACGTGGGTAATTATCGTTGGACTTTTGGTTGCACTTTGTCTAGTTTGTCATTCGAGTGAACGAGCGGCAAATCGGTTTGCGCAATAAGACGATCTGCGTTGGAAGAAAAACAGCTCTAGTTGTGAATAACCCTTCGCGAATGAAAGAGCTTTTTTGTGTCGTGTTGCGTTGTGAGTAATAGATTTATTATTTAACATTTTATTTTTTGAACGGTTTGGAGATTTCGTATAAATTTTTTTTTTTTTTACAACAAAATTGGTCCTCGAATCAGTTCTGTTTGAGTGTGTATATGTAAAAGTTTTTTTTTATAATTATTATTAAAATTATCGGTTTATTAGGAAATTGTAAAAGAAATAATTAACACGTTTATAATTATTATAATAGTTTTAGCTTATATTATGTTTTATCTTAATTAATGTCATTTTAAATGCAATGGAGCGAAGGCTACGAACAACACAAGCGTTTTACTTGTAATACGTAACGATTATGACAAAAAAAATAGTTTGTTTGCGAACAGACGCTCTATTTATTCGCTTATGTCGATACTTTATACCTTGGTAGTAATGAATACATTCAAATGCACAATGCAAGTGTTATATTTCCATTAAAAAAAAAAAAAAAAAAAAAAAAAAACTATAGAGATAAAACTATAGTTGTGAATATAGGATAATAGGTCAAATGCAATTAAAATCGTATAATTTTTAATCACTTTATGTACTCGTGATATTTATTTTTTAAATCCGAGATTCGAGTCAAAAAGAAAATTTGTCGATATATTTCGTTTTCTATAAATTGTTTCTTTAAAATATTTAAAAAATTCTTTCTCGTTACAGATATTTATAAAAATATTCAATTATCGTATAATCTAACACTATCTTTACTTCTATTATATAAGTATCGTCTTGGAAAGAATTACGAAAAAATTTCCATTCAATCAGTTGCTATCAGTTGCATCATTTTGTCTAATTACTCGCACACTACTAAAAACCCCTCCTCAAAAATACTTACTAAGTATCGTCTTAGAAAGAATTACGAAAAAAAACTTCCATTCAATCCTATCAGTTGCTATCAGTTGCATCATTTTGTCTAACTACTCCACATTATTAAAGTAAAAACCCCTCCTCAAAAAATTCTTCCATTAAGTATCGTCTTACAAAGAATTACGAAAAAACTTCCTATCAATCATTCACTATCAGTTGCATCATACATACATCATTTTGTCTAACTATTCCACACACACACACACACACACACACACACACACACACTAAAGTAAAAAACTCCTCCTCAAAAAATACTCAACTCAAAAAAAGTTTCTTCTAAACGATATTTATAAAAGTATTCCATCATTAATCGCCCAATGTATCTTCCTCTATCTCGTTAAAGTAACATCAAAGTTCAAGTTTTAGAAAGTTTCGAATTCACGAAAAATTTCTATTCGATGCCTGTATGCAACTTATGGCTCTAACAATTCTCGAGAGGTGGGGGGGAAGGGAGAGGGGGGGGAGCGAACGACAATTTGCCAGAGTAGAGAGAACTATATTGGTGAGGCGAGTAAACAGCGTGCAACAGTGTTGACGCGAGTGGCTCGATAAATAGCGAAACGCAGGCATCGGTGTCCCATTTGCGGGGAAGCGAACCGTTCTCACGCGCGGTCCGCGTTTTTCCATTGCGCAACGGTCATAAAGGCGATTAC